AGCACATTCACTCTAACGAGGTCATCATGACTATTGGCCGTTCTCGCACCGTCGAGTCCTTCCTCAAAGACGCCGCACGCAAACGAAAGTTCCATGTCATAGTGGCGGAGTGCGCCCCCTTCTGCCAGGTACCTCGAACACGTCAAAGATGCAAGAAATTATTACGTTCTTGCAGGAAAAACAAGAAAATTTGGTGTTGCTATAACGATTGTTATAATTTGTATCTTTGTTTTCCTCCCACCAGGGACATAAGATGGCAACGAGTCTTTCAGAAGCTGGTATCGAAACGACCGTGATCGCAGACGCTGCCATATTTGCAGTCATGTCTCGTGTTAATAAGGTGTTTTTTTTTTTTTTTGTCGTTGTTCAAAGTAGCTTTTATTAACTTTTTACAGTTTTTTGACACCACAGACGACTTTGTAAAACAATGTTAAAGCATTTGAGTCAACCTGTGTGGTGATCTCTCTCCCCTCAGGTCATCATTGGTACACAGACAGTTCTGGCGAACGGAGGGCTGAGGGCCGTCAACGGGACGCACACTCTGGCCCTCGCAGCCAAACACCACTCCACACCTCTGATAGTTTGTGCTCCCATGTTCAAGCTCTCGCCTCAGGTAAGAAGACTCACTAATGAGCCAGATTTCTATAATTTCTGCAGACAACAATTGATAATGACTATTCTGTGTCTGTAGTTCCCAAATGAAGAAGATACCTTCCATAAGTTTGTCTCTCCACATGAGGTTCTTCCTTTCACCGAAGGTAACATTCATAACAATACTTTATCTTCATCTTTTAAACAGTAACTTTTAAGCCTTTTAAAATAAGTGTTCCTCTGACTAATTCACTTTTTTGTATTTCAGGTGAGATTCTCTCAAAGGTGAACGTGCACTGTCCAGTGTTTGACTATGTGCCACCTGAGCTTATCACGCTGTTCATCTCTAACATTGGAGGACACGCACCGTCATACATCTACCGACTGATGAGCGAACTTTACCACCCAGAAGACCACGAACTTTAACCAGTTTAATTAACAAATAAATTAAATTAAATTATTGATGTGTCATTTGTGTCTCTTTTGACAAAGTATCTTGTGCTGTATCTAAGGAGGTATTCTGGGAATGTTCCTGAAACTTGAATACAATTGCGAGAGGAAGCGTGTACAGGGAGAACAGAACTGGACTGAGAACTGACCCCTGAGGAACACACAACAGCAGAGGAGGAAACATGATTATTAATGCAGACGTTAAAGAATCTATTAGTCAAACAGGAATGAAACCAGTACCAGAAATGCCAACCCAGTTCTGTGATCTATCAAGTAAAACGGCAGGCTGTAGTTGCAGGTGTCCTCCAGGGGGAGGCGGTGTAGGACGAGCAGAGCAGCAGGTTTGTGAAGATGTTTGATGGAACAAGAAGATGAAGAGTGAGTGATGAAGCTGCAGTGTGGTGTAAAAATCTAATGTGTGAGTGTGTGTGTAGTGAGAGCAGTTTATTGGTGAGTATAAAAAGACTGGGTCCCGCTGTATTACTCAGGCTGCACTACAGCGTCTATTCACAGGCGCGATCCCACTACTGAGCGGCACGGGGGCTTTGACCTGCTCCGTTTCCGACCTGGGCCGGTGCACCCCTCCTTAGGCGACCTGGTGGTCCCGGGCTCCCCCAGGAGCACCATATCGATACCGAACTTAGTGCGGACACCCGATCGGCATAGTCCGCTGCAGCTCAGAGCTCCTGAGCTCAAACGATCCGCCAGCCTCAGCCTCCCGGTAGCTTGGATTACAGGCGCGCGCCACCGCACCCGGCGACAGACTCACGAGCTCACAAGAGTTTTGATCTGGAGTAATGTGACGTCATCAGGTAGCGCGTGAAAGAAAAGTGCAGCTGCATTGATGAATGTTGATGAAGCCTCAAAACTAAAACGGGCCCTAACCTAACATTATCACTTAATTGATAAAACAACCTGAAAAGAACCACAACTTAACCGAATAGAGAAGAAATAGAGTCATTCATTAGCTTACATCATCTCATCGTGAGATACTAACATGTTTTAACTGACTGACAGTTTCCCTGAAACCAAAAAACTGTAAAATCTATAAGTAGCTCTCATGTCTTCAAACCTCTGGGATAAAACATGTCACCACCAACATCATAGCCACACGTGTTCCCACTGAATGTACATTTGATGTCCAAAGTGATACAGTGATACATCCGCGCCACAGCATCAGAACTGGCTCGGCACTGTCTTCTTGGGTCATATGCATGGCCTGGTTTTTTTGCCCCCTCCTCATACCAGCAGGGTCCTCTGCCACCGGCCCCATCTCCTGTCCACTTGAATGGCCACAGAAAATGGAGAAAGGAAAAGTCCGCACTTGAAGACCAGGAGCGTGTGGCAAGAGGTGAGCTTCCAAAAAAGCAGCATTGCAAAGAGGACTACCATTATCAGTGTAAAATACGTGGTCAGTCCAAAAACTAAATCACTGGCCATACACAGATGAAAGGAAAGTGGTACTGTCCTGCATCTGGACAGATCAACAAAGAATGGAAAGAAACTCTTGAAAAGCAGTAAAAGTTGTTTTTTAAGGAATTAGGTATAAATGACTAGTTTTTAGTTAATTGGTTATTAGTGTGTTTGTTTCTGAATGTGAAGTGTACCTTTTTTTTATTGTTGATTTTTATAAATTAATATATTAAAAATGTGTTCAGTGAAAACTAGTTGTAAACTTAAAAGGACCAGTGTGTTGGATTTAGTGTCATCTGGCAGTGTAGTTGCAGCTAGCAACTCACTGGCTTCACCCTCCTTTTCTAAGCACAGGGGAGAAACTACAGTGGGCTACTGTAGAAATATGGTGGTTCAACATGGTGGACTGTAGATAAAAATGTTTCATTCTGAGTTAACAAAAAACAACATGTCTTATTTTCAGATGATTATACACTAATGAAAACATTCCTATACATATTATAGTTAATTTATGCCAATAGATCCTCCTAAATGTTCTGAACTTTTAAATATTGCATGCACATGCATATACACTTGGTAAATATTGGCATGCGGTGTATTGGGTATATGCATACTGTGTGTGTTTTTGGAATCCATGCTTTTAAAAACATCAGCACCTCTGTTTGCCTTATTGCTTGCCATTACTGTTATTATGACTTCTTTTTAGCTCTGTATATTTTGTTCAGCTCAAATCACAACAAACAGCACAAGTTTTGTGAAGGCAATGCTGAAATGATCTTCCAGAAACAATAAAAATAATCGTCTGCAAAAAAAGTATATTTCCCACATTAAAATCCTCATAAAAAGGTTTCTATATGTTCATATAAAATTACAGAATCTATGAAAATGCTAGTTTTCCTGTTGGACACAAGATGTCTCCTAGTTCACTGTATCACACTACACTGTCCATTTTCAGGGTATGAGCACTGCAAGAGTTTCTACATCACACTGTAGAAGTTATATACTGGACCAGGACTGACACACAAACTATTTGTAATGTTTGGCTCCACCTGCAGGACACGATGAGGAGTGTTGAGTGTGGTTGGTGTAGTTGCAGGTGTCCTCCAGGGGGAGGCGGTGTAGGACGAGCAGAGCAGCAGGTTTGTGAAGGTGTTTGATGGAATAAGAAGATGAAGAGTGAGTGATGAAGCTGCAGTGTGGTGTAAAGATCTAATGTGTGAGTGTGTGTGTAGTGAGAGCAGTTTATTGGTGAGTATAAAAAGACTGGGTCCCGCTGTATTACTCAGGCTGCACTACAGCGTCTATTCACAGGCGCGATCCCACTACTGAGCGGCACGGGGGCTTTGACCTGCTCCGTTTCCGACCTGGACCGGTGCACCCCTCCTTAGGCGACCTGGTGGTCCCGGGCTCCCCCAGGAGCACCATATCGATACCGAACTTAGTGCGGACACCCGATCGGCATAGTCCGCTGCAGCTCAGAGCTCCTGAGCTCAAACGATCCGCCAGCCTCAGCCTCCCGGTAGCTTGGATTACAGGCGCGCGCCACCGCACCCGGCAACAGACTCACGAGCTCACAGGGCTTTTGAGTTGGACTAATGTGACGTCATCACGCAGTGCGTAAAACAAACTGCAGCTGCATTGATGAAGGTTGATAAAGCCTCAAAACTAAAACAAGCTTATTTGTTTGTTTGTTTGTTTGTTTATATTTTACCGACAGAGTTTATTTATATTTTATATGTTTATATATTTAATAATATTTGAGTGTAATCTGCTGATCTGCCTGTTTGAACAGTTTCATTACATCACTGTCTCTCTACTGCACCAGAATGTCATTTCAACTATTATCATTCATTTATTTAAAATAAAGTTAGTTAATAATGTCTCTTCTCTGAAACACAAACTAGGACTGTCTGACTTCTCGTCCCCAGGAATTTATGATTGGAGTTTAAATGAGCAAAAATAAATCAATAACCACAGAAAATAACATTTCCACTCTGACGCCTCCATCATGATGTTACACAGACAGAAAACACACAAACCGATCACCATCACATGCAATCAAATGTTACATTCTTGTGACGGATAAATATGATTCTGACATTTTCTTCCACATTTCTAATCGGGGTTCAGCCACCTTTGTTTTTCAATCTGCTGTGTAGATAAAATGTATTATTTCAGTAGAAGGAAACAGTCAGTGTGCAGCTGAAACAAAGCCTCACTGGATGTGTTTGTACATAAGATGAAGTCAGTACAGTTTATTTCTGTAAAAGGTTTCATCAGCGTGTGTCAGCATGCTTTATCAGTAGGGAACAACTCCTTCATTCTTAAACAGTGAATTAAATACATTACATATACATTGTTTTCTATTTAATATACGTACCCATATCATCTGCTATATGCTGCTGTGTGTGTCTGGTACCTGATCTGATCCTCGAGCTCTACTGACTGGGTCATTATTTAATCAAAATATTAAAACAATGACCATCAGTCTTTCTCCAAAAGCCAACATTGTTAAGAACATGAGAAATGATGAGACGAGACAAATGTTAAGTTCACTGTGGAGTATTTTTAATATTCTGAGAGCATCAGCGAAAATCTGACAGTTCGTCTTACAAAACACTTCTCTTAAAAATCTGTCTTTACGATACAATACATTTAGAGTGTATAAAGGAGTAAACGCTAACACCAGTCCCTAATAAAAAAACAATAAAAGTAACCTAACATTATCACTTAATTGATAAAACAACCTGAAAAGAACCACAACTTAACCGAATAAAGAAGAAATAGAGTCATTCATTAGCTTACGTCATCTCATTGTGAGATACTAACATGTTTTAACTGACTGACAGTTTCCCTGAAACCAAAAAACTGTAAAATCTTTAAGTAGCTCTCATGTCTTCAAACCTTGTTTGAACCATGTTGAACGTACCAGTGATTCTGGACACAGCTTCAGCAAAATGTCTCCTACTTCACTGTACAGTCCATTTTCAGTGTATGTGCACTGCAAGGCTTCAAGATTCTACATCACACTGTAGAAGTTATATACTGGACCAGGACTGACTTACAAACTATTTGATATGTCACAAATCAATGCTCTTAGCCCCTTAAAATCAGATTTTCACTGAACACAGAAACTTTCCACTTTCAGCAGATGAATGTGAAAACATCCGTATAGTGTCAAACTCTGCACATACATCATTCAAACATCCAACTGTAGGAACAAGAAACATTTGAGTGCAAGTCGGACTTTAAGATTCTTTTGGAAAATCTTTCTCCGCCTCAAACAGCAACTGGTAGATTTTAAATTTAACATCTGGCTTATGCACCGGGTTGATGTTAGCCAGCATGTCTTTGATAACGTGAACAAACCGAGAGTCTGCATTGTCCTGTTGCATCAATTTCTGTCTCTCTTGGTCCTGGTGCACCACACACAGGACGCAATCTGTGGCGTGTCTCTTTTTCCGAGCTGTGGTGCAGGGAGACGTGAAGAGTCCGGGACGAGGAAAATGTTGGGGGGCAGAGGAATGCAGCCCTGGATGGGTTAATGGGGCGACACCAGTGGTGAGTAGACTGAGGGGAGATGGCGAGTCACCCCGAGGTGAAGAGCTGCCGGGGGATGTCATCTCTGCTGGGGCAGGTCCGGAAGGTGATGGAGAAAGGGTGCCTGGCATAGATGATGATATGGATGGATCCACTCTTGTGGTGTCTTGGGAGCAGAAGTTTAGTGACGTCTTCTGGTCTTCATGGATGAGTTCTGCCCCGTCATCCTTTAAGAAAGGACATTTTAATTATAATGATGCAAAGACAAACCACAACAACTGGAAATGATAACGGATATAACAGAGAGTACCCCATGTTGAGTACTTCTAGTGTTATTATTATTATACTAACCCTAAACAGTAGATGCTACTGATACCATACTTCTGTGTTTAGATAGAGAAATAGATCTGTTCACATACAAATATATATTAGAAGACATAAACAGACAGAAAATGGGTTAAAAACAAACAATAAATGAATAAATAAATCAATTAGATAAATAAAGAACTAGATAAACTACAGTAAAAAAGTTATCCTGCTGTTTCCTGTTGTGGTGACTGACTACGGTAAAAGTCAATAAGTGCTATACACACATGAACTAAACTACACAGAGAGGACCGTAAATAAGAGTGAACTTCATTAATGTAAACAGTAGTAAACATTAATACAACATTATAGTCACATTAATTACAACTGTCGCTGACCTCAAACTCGAAATGAGAGTCCGCCTCTCGATGTTTGACGAACTGGGACAGCCACTCCAGCTCCACCACGATGGACGGGACTCTCCTGTGTACACCTGGCTCACCACTCTGCGCGCGACTCTTTTTTTTGGCTTTGACGAAGCGGTCCCTCGTGTTCTTCCACAGCTTTCGACAGAGCGCCTCCTCCTTGCCCAGGGTGCTCGCGATCTCCTTCCACGAGTTCACGGACACCTCCCGGTGGTCTCGCAGCAACGGGTCGTACAGGTGTTTGTACCGGCGCACCTGTTCCGACAGTTCACGTTCAAACGAGTCCATGCTCGAAGTCCTCGAGCGCTGTGGAGCTGCTCCACCGCAGTGTCCCCGGCGCGAGGGCGCGCGTGCCGTAAATGACGTCACCGCACTTTTTTTCCTTCTACCTTCACTACGTAAAAATGTCACGTATTCACTGACGACCTCTGACCTTTCGGAGCAACGAGCAACGTGCCGAGTTCACCTCCTCTGTGCGGGCTCGTAGCGCCAGTTGCACGCGCGAGCTGCGCGCGCGCTACGTGACGCCGACAACTTGGAAAGTTGAGGCTCCTGCGATGAAAATACATCTTCAGTGGAAATGTAAGGGTTGCAATCACCGACAGTCTGTTAAGTGATTAAGTAAATAAGGGTGCATGTAACCTGCTGGTTTCTAAGCTCTTCATTGTTTCAACATTTTTAAAATGTATTTTAATTTATGTTTTTTATGTGATTTGATGATGCGCACTATACCGTTGATTTTTGGGGGTGCTCACTTTTTTTTGGGGGGGGTACTGGCGATTTAACCCGAGTGGGACTAGGAAAATGTATTTTATGTATATTTTCTGATCTTTAGTTAATAATATTGTGCTGTCACTCTTCAATGTTGATGGCAATAATAGCAGTATCTTTATTAAAGTGAATTAGTGATGAATCACCCTCATGCACAAATCATACATCAGTAGCCCAAGTTTACGCATAATCCATGATAATGAAGATATAGAACAATTGAAATAGTTCCTCATCCTCTGTAGTTCGTACCCTGGATGAACTGAAAATTTAATCAAAAGAAACACAATAAGTCAGACCAACTGACATATAGAATAACCAAGAGATGCAGCCTTTATTCATTAATCTTTATTTATTTAGTTAAACTTCACAATTACATTTTCTGTCTATCTTATACCAACATAAAGGGCTAAACAAAGCTTTGTTTACTCTGCCAGGACTACAGTTCTGGTGGGGAAATGTACTGAATCCTTTATCTGTTTATTTATTTACCTAAAAACTCTATGAAGTCTATGAAACTGTCATTAGCCTGTGTGTTTTTTATTTAGATAGATAGATAGAGAGTTAAATAGAGAGAGAGAGAGAGACAGATAGATGTAATTGTAATATCTAACCACAAGGTGACTCCCCACCCTGCTTTATTTAAAGGTATGAAACAGCCCTCCCAGTTTAAATCCACTGGGAGCTTTGGTGCGCCAAGTGTAGAGTCGTGTTGAGTGGTTGGATGTGAAGGCTTGGGATGAGGGTCAGTGGGGAGCACGAGAAGGGCTCTGGCACCCCGCTACGGTCTAACAGAGAGAGTGCATTGTTCTCTGACCTAAATTCCTTGACCTAAAACTGCAGAAAAAAAGGTCAGACTGAATGGGACGCAGCAACATGTCTTCACTCTCCACTGCGCCACACTCGCAGGTCAGACCATGACATCATCCAACTGTCAAACAACATTTTCTGACAATTAGCCCCTCTGAAAAGAGCTCAGTGGGCAAGATTATATATAGGAAATTACTGATAGCAGTCTGATTCTGAATCCAGCACTGAATCATCCCAGCATCTTTCCTGATGTCACATCAGATATTAAAATAACTTAATTATTCAGGATTCTGCCTCTAACAGCTAAAAAATGCCCATTCTCTTAGTGAAAGCTGCAACCTCCAAGTCCAGAGCAATGATTTCTTAAATTTAGTTTTTATTTTTCCATATATTTTTTTTAACATACACACATGTAACAAAGGAGCAACAATCCTGGTGGCTTGGTGGCTACTTTGTCTGCAACAATACACTCAACTCACAATTTGATGCAATTCACAAACTGAGATTGAAGATTATGAAAAAGATCTAAACGTATCTTTTTTAAAATTAAATTATAATCCTTTTTTATTTATAAACTGTGTAAAACACTGCATATTTATTTATTTTGTAAACGTGTTTTTGGGCCTTGATACCACGACTGATATCACATCTCACCGATTTGAATCTTCACGTATTTGTGATTTAACTGTCTTGCAGTATATCTTTAGATTTCTGTCATGAATCACAGAGAGCAATCATCTCATCATTCATGGTTGTGACGTATTGAATCAGTACAATACAGTTTTTAAGAAGTAGCAGATATCTACAGCAGAGCATAAAAGTGCCTGGTTGTCCCTGAAAAAAGTTCAGGCTCAGTATGTTTGGCCCATTGACAGAATATATTATAGTAGTGTATATATTGGCCTGAATGATGACTGACTTGCTCACTGGTAGGAGGCTTTAGATTAGGATTAGGACGCACCCCGGTAGTTCACCTGGTAGAGCACAGAGACCATGTATTAAGGCTGAGTCCTTTGCAGCGACTTCGGTTAATTTCTGGCTTGGGCCCTTTGCTTTATTCAATTCAATTCAATTTTATTTGTATAGCGCCAATTCATAACAGAAGTTATCTCAGGACACTTTTCAAATAGGGGGCCGGACTTTTTAACTTAATTAAACCCAAAAATTCCCCCAATAAGCAACCCTTTGGGAAAAAGGGAAAGGAAAACTGCCTGTTAAAAGGATCCACTGTGCATCCTCTCCCCAGCTGTCACTATTTAAATAAAACATAAATGTCCCCTCAAAAAGAACTATAGAATCTGGAAGAATTGGCTAGAAAAAGGCTAATAATTAGTAATTAATGTAGATGAGTCAATGTCAATGTTTCCCCAGATTGCTGAACAACAAACATTATTTATATTAAAATAGTTTCGGCACAGAAAACAGACATGTCACAGAAAGACATCGTCTGGCCAGGCAGGATGAGGAACCACATCAGTCAGGACCGGCTCACGTGCCCTCCATTTCTAATGTCCTGTCATTACAGTCGCTGTTATTCCCTGCTGGTGCACAAGTAGTCTTCAGTCTGTCACATGATTCTCACCTGTCAACACACCTCAATGAACAGAACATACACACGCACACACAAACACTGGTTTATGTAGCTCCGTGTCTTTGTGCTCCAGCCATATGCTCCTCTTCTGCCTGCCTTGTTCCTTTTGGGCTTTTTTTCCCTTCACAAACTGCCTGTCTGTTGTTGACTTCTGGTCTTGAGCACGAAATAAAACCTCACTTTCTTTCTTTTTCCCTTCCTCGACCTTTGACTTTCTGCTCTCGGGACTACAAAGACACCACATTTATATGGGACAGAAACACCCATGGATGTCACTGTCTTTGGCCAGCAGGCTCATCAGCATCTCAAACACATCCAGTGGCATCATCACATCTATGGGCGTGTCACGGCGAGGTCCCACTTGTCATTTTTCTGTGCTCACGAGCTCGTCTCGGGTGCGTAGAAGAGGAGGGGGAGGAGGGAGCAGATAAATCTCATTCTCTTTTTCATCACACTGACTTCATTCTTCACAGCCCTTTGATGAGACAGGGGAGCAAACCTGGGTGGAGTCTGGAGATTTACGGCTGACAGAAGCGTGCAGGCCATTAAGGCCCAGCGCCCTGCTAATGAACAGTCAGTGCAATCACACTGAGAGGAGTACAGTATGTACAGATCTCATCGATCCAGTGTCATCCTTTAGGGACACGAAAGCTGTACTCTGACCCTGTCGCTTCAAAGGACAACAAGATTCATCTTTATTTTCTAATCAAAACTTGGATTATATGGGGTTGTATATCTGATCTCAGTCTATGTTATTGTGTTATGGTTTAAGTTGCACAGGTACTCAGCCAAATCAGAAATCTAATTCAAGACTTTTGGAGTCGTCTGCGAAATTATCCCCGCATAGTGTGAATGAATGCATCATGCTACCACCCCCCACCCCTAGCATACACACTGTCATTATTCCTTTTACTCCCCCTCGGGTATTGACGTGCAGCCGGCGGCCCCAGCTGTTGTTGCCCGGTGAGGCAGAGCTCCAAACTGTGCAGCGTGTTGTCATCAGAGTGGTGGCGTCTCGCGGGAGAGCAGAGATGAGTGCTGTAATTAGCGGGGAACGAGGCCAGCAGCAAGCTGAGTGTTCCCACGGGGCCCCCCCACCCGGAGGCCTCAGGGGACTTGGAAGACACGTGGCTAACCTGTGGGGCACTACCTGTGGCTTTTAGTGCAAGTGTAACATACAGCAAGTGATGATTTGTTACACCCAAAATGATGAAAACAAGCATGTTTGACAGACAATGTAGATGTGCTCATTATTAGAAAAGAGGTGTAACATTGATTAATAACACATTTTGGATAATAACCAGTAAAATCAGAATTTATTAATAACAAAACATTTGAGCCTCAGAAATAGATTTATTCTCTTTATTCTGTTTTATAAGTGTCCTGAGATAGTTTCTGTTGTTTTGTATGATGTGGAGCCATACAAATAAAACTGAATTGAAAAAAAGAGGTAGTTTAATCAATATAGTGTGATCTTGTTTCTGGTCTGGCAAAAAGGACCCAAGAGCAGGAAAACGTCTATATGTGCCAGAACAGAGTACCATCAAGACTTTTGTCAAATTTCTAAAGTAGGTATTTATCTTGAATATAACGTCTAAGATGAATGTGTTGAATATGTTTTTGTATTTTTATCATATGTTTTGTACAGAAGTGGTATACATTATGGTTGTAGCGGGAGTAGCTAACCATGTAAAAGACAGAGCAGACTGACGAGTAGCTCCAGTTTTCTGATCTCTTGTAAATAACTTTTCAGCAAGTGTGCAAATTACCTTTTTGTTATAAACAATAAATGCACCAAATCCCACACTGTCTTGGTTTTTGCAGCTTAAAAAGTAACTTCTTCTGTTAGTCTTCCCTTAGTTAGTTCGTGGGCACTCAGGAACAGACAAGTTATCCAGCCTAAAATCACACATTCACATGCCTTCCAAAATGAGTATAAACGCAATTTTTTACAGGCTATAAAGAGTGCAAATAAATAATAGCAAATAGTAGAAAATAATGTTAATATTAGGTAAATGAAGTGCAAATGTGTGAAGCGTATGGATCAGAGAAGACAACCAAGTAGAACGTGGATCACAAAACCCCCTCTGTATGAAGTCCTGGAAAAGAGAGGACAACACAAAGTGAAGCTAAACAAGGATAAAGTCATCTACTCATCACTCTATTGAGCCGTGACTGTGAATAAGAACCTTTTCCTAATCTAAAACAGGGTTAGAATTTAAACATGAAGTTAGCCTTTATCCTTAAAACAGCACCTAACATTATTCTTTTTTTATAGCTGTTAAAAATTAGTGGAGCTAAAAGACAAT